AYAWTWAYTMMTYAACCAAAATACCTATAAAAAGYTTTACCTGGATTGACTTCCCTTGTGTATGRTAATGAACCAATGATGGAATCAGTCTYTYWGGATTCAAAGCTCCTTTCTTCTCGATCCAGGCACTCACAGTTTGTTTTGGAATGTGYTGCATTAGGACTGGCGAGAATTTGTAGTACAACTCCATGTCAGCCTGGAAGATATTAAGGAATGAATTAGACTAGAGGCTTAGCTTGTACCTTCCTGGACGGGTTCACATTACCTGTCTTGTGAGGACTTTAAGTGCYGCTGGGTAATCATCATGTTGAATGTGGTGACGTATAACATGTTCATAATCTAGTAATTAAAAGAAAATTAACAACTGTTTGCCGTCTGCACAAAAATGACATTATACAAAAAAAATTCAGAGCAATCTCATTGTCAAATAAGAAGCTGTGCTGACAGATATTTTTGCAAAAGAATGATGGTCAGAATGTCACATATATACTGTACCTTCCATGAGCATTGCAAAGAAGACTAAATTGTCAACGTCTCCATGGCTTGCAATGAGTTCATAAGCAGTCTTCCTGTTCTGGTCTAGACAACCCTGCCATGAAACCAAGAACACTTTTAGAGGAGAGATTAATTATGAAAGGTTTAATTCAGCTTAGAGTTCCAAGTACCTTCACAGTCGATTGAGATAAAAATGTTCGGAATTCATCGATGAGCTTTAAGTATTCATTATTACTGTCTTGCTCTTTTAGATGATTCAGATGGTGCAGATAAAGCTCTATCAGCCACATTACTATCATTGTCATCTGTGTCTTGTCCTGTAAATGCAATCATAATTACTTAATTTTTTCCATAAAACAACTTATCTTAGTATTGGGCTTTCGGTGCCCATAGAAGGTAAAATCCTCTTTCAAATGTTTTCATTCATTATGTAAACTAAATGATAATTTACATGACACAACTTTTTCCTACACAATAATCACAAGAAGTGTTGTCAGTCAATAAAAAAAGGTTTTAGACACTTGGTTTATAAGTAGCCCTAAGTAGTGGGTCTACAGCTGTAGTAACAAGAAACTAGGTACATAATTATAATTGCAGATCTGTAGAAGAAATAATGCAATCAACCTTATGCTCCAAGCATTCCATTTTCTTGATTAGAAACATCCTTAGTGCTTTCTTTTCTTCAACTTTRATAAACTTCAATGCAACTTCTTCAAATGAAACCTGTGTTTGAGCATAACAGTTGGCAGCAGCTGTATAACTGAAAAAAGACAGAACTTACTCATTGCAATATAAAGGTGTCTTGAATATTTTACTGTCTCCAGAGCTATTTGAAACCAAGGCAGCAAGTGAGACAGCAGTTTGAGCTTGCAACTTGACAGAAATATAAGAATATTTATTACCCTAGATATGAAACAGAGGTATCTACTATCGCTGCAAGCTCAACTCCTTCTTGGTTGTGAAAATGCTTGAATGCATAGTTCATATCAAGATGGTGCTGGGGTCCAATGTAAAATGGAGCATTGRTCTTATCCATCATAAAAATGCTTACTTTTTCTTTTGAAATAAACTCTCTGCTTGCTTTGTTAGAACTTTATCCAAGTTGACAGGGTTATCCTAATACATAATAATAACGAATAAAAAGAATGACAACAGTACTGCCGTGATTGTAAGTATTATAAGTACGGCAGTTTGCACAGGACTGTGAAAGACATGCTTAGATAACTATTAAGTTTATTCACACTAGTAATTAAGCTTAATAAGTCAATATTACTTGAATTTGTTCTGTTTTTTTTTTTTTTGTATATAAAACTATTTATCACTAAATATATTAAGTAGTTTAAGTTTAAGTAGTCTATTCTCACAGTTTGATGAAAATGTCTTTAGTTAGTTTGCTACCTTGCAATACATTTTAGCTCGTTCAAAATCCTCTCTCTTCAAGTACATCTTCCAGACATCTCTGAGAAAATAAGAGAAAAACATCACATTAGATTGAATGATATCATGTCAACACTTACTGAAGCAAAATTCCAAATAGTACCTGCTTTCTCTGGTAATATAGTACTGGAATATAGTGGTATCGGAATAAGTCCATACTGTCTTTTTAGCCATATCAATAGCCATTCCTCTCATCAACCCATACTACAAAACACAGTTTACAAATTGATCATATCATATATTAACTGATTCAGGACTGAGTGAATAAGATGAATGAATGTTGAATGAGATAATGAATAGAACAAAAAACAAATAGATASTAACTGACCTTTGGTGGGAGAGCATCTTCGAAGATAGTTTCTTCACTCAATAAAGACACTGCTTCAAACCTACAAAYGTTCATTTGATAAAATTATGATAAAAGTATAATTTGCCCCCTACACGTGAGTCATTACCTGTCTTTGTTGAGTAGTAATGCATGGAATTCAGTCAATCCTACCGACAGTGGTGGTGTGGGTTCTTTTGAATCCCCAGATTGCATATATCTTTCACCTACAATTAAGGCTAMTATAATTATACACTAATGCTGTTTTTCACTTGACATCATGACTTCCATATGGTGGTAGAATACCAAWTTTTTTGTATGTTATTTTGAATCAAAAGGGAAGAACTGAAAACCAGCAATGCTTATGATAAGGATACAAAAGAAGCTTGGACTCTGTAATGACGTTGTCAATCTTAGCATCAGCATTAAATTTTAGTTTTCCATAGTAAACGCCACTTCCTATAATCATAAAAAAAAWAATATATCATTGCTAGTTGTTCTTCAATGTAGCATATTAAATGTGCTACATATTTTTTACCTGTAAGCCATGCAAATGAGCTTGGKGTTCCACGGAACTTAGGATAGAAAAATCTTAACTGACCATGATCTAAATTGCCTGGCATTTCATGGAATGGGGCTRTTCAAAAGAAATCAAAAGATCCTCACAAAAGATACAGCAAGCTCACATGAATTAACACTGACAAATTTTCAAAATATCATTTGATTGGCTAGGTAAGTGATCTATGAACATGTCCAGTAAAGAGATACAATAAATTAGGCATACCAGGACTATTCTCATATTGTACAAACATTGGTTGGAAGTCTAATGGRTCTCCATTTGAAACATCTCCAATAAACTGATAAAGACGGCTACAAAAAAAATAAGAATTACACAGTTAGACCAGTATACAGTATTTTACGTCAGATTAATTATATTTCATTAAGCAATTATTCCTGTCACTCTGTTTATTTATTGAGAAATTCAAATTCTCCAATCCAATTTAATTATTTTTCCACTTTTCTATTCTTCCATCCATTTAGATTTTGATTTATTTGATGACTTTCGTTATTATCATTCACTCAATACAATCCTGTCTCAGTGSCCTCTAGAAGAATTTACATGTACAAATACATGTAGTACATGACTGTATAGCTTTCTAGGGTCAGCAAAGCAGTTTAAGAATTATATACCCTGCGAGCAGAGGAATTTTTCCCCTCCTCTGCTCGCAGGGTAAGAATTATAATACTAGGTAATAATTTCATGCCGAGTCTACAACTAGTATTACCTTAATGTTGCTACCATGATGAGGTACTTCTTTTCTTGACCAGGAAATTTCTCAAACATTATTCCACAAATTGGCTCCTCTTTCTCACCACTTGCATTTACATTGTAAAGCTAGAATTATAATTGTACACAATTTGATTATTCAAGTGATTTCATAATTATCTTTTTGTACTTAAGGAATTAAGACACTGATAAATTCCTGTGTTCTGCTTCCACTGGTTACATCATACATGTACATGTACKATCACTATTTAGTTAATAAGGTTGTTTTACAGTAACGGGGGTCTAATTACCTGTTTGCAAAATCGTTCAAGACCTTTCAAGTCTAAAAACTTTTCTTCTGGTACAAGCTCAGTCTCAAAGAGCAGCCCTTGAAAATAACAAAGCGCATTGAGTAAATCAAACACACAACTTAACAATGATGTTGTATTTGAAGCAGAAATGGAGCTGCAGAATTAAAAGTACAAATATTATCATCTCAATAAATAAAGTTTCATCAAACCTTTTTTAGTTCCTAACAAAATWGTCTGTGTAGAGGCTTCTGTTAGTTTTGTTTTGTTCCAGCCAACAGCATTTATAAGGTGGCCCTGTAATGAAAAATGGACAAGATACAGCAAAATTTTATGCAGTGTTTCATGGATAAAATGAATGATCAACAAGTGACCCCGGTGGCCTGGGTACTTTTGATGATGTACGTGCATGTACCGCCTCACTTCACTGTCCAATACTGCAGCAGAGAGGTCCTCTCTTCATAATACTCCAGTTTTGAATTCTCTTTTGTGCAAGCTTAGCTTCATTCAAGCATAAATTTTTATTTTCTTTGTAGACAGAGTGTTTGTATTACAATAGGATCTCTGCTGAATAAAAGAATATGCACATGCTTTCGAGGTTAAGACTGCACAAACAAGATCTCGACACTGGAGTATTGCCAAATCCCTTGCTACATTGTATAACATCTGGAAAAGTGTAAAATTGTTGTTGTTTTGGTTATACATGTAGTTAATGTTATAGTCTTGTGTAGTTTAAAATCATGGCTAGTTAACTTATTTGAATGCACCCTAGCTAGTCTATATTCTTACCCTTAGCTTTGTAAGGGGTTTTGGTTTCTTTGAATTCCTGGCAAGATARTAGAGTTCTTGTGAATTCATRCAGATTAAGAGATGTCTGGCTGCAGGATCCAAGAACAGCTTGTAGATTGTGTCATCCATTCTTCTACTAATCTCAACAGCTACAAGACAAATAAAAGGATGCATCATAATTGTTGACATGGGTTCCCTTTGGTGAGGTTGGGATGCCTGTGTAGAGAAGGTGTACTAACTCTATGTGTCCAAAGTATTTTCTGCTAGTTTGAGTTGTTTTAAGTTAAAATTGAAGTGGTTGTTTTCATATCCATACAAACTGTTATCCTACAGGCCCTGACTGGGATTATTTAGAGGGGAGGGTCCCAGGGTGGCTGTGACCTCCCYTTTCAAAGCCCTTGACTGATGACCTCATTAGCAAAGCTGTAGAAAATATTYAGKTCATAGTGTATACTTACGGTCCACCTCACTTGGATTCAACAAGTCAATTCTCATGATAAAGTTRGTTGTCAGGGCRACCACGACAGTGTTGTTACAGACAACCATATCTACAATATTGCTTGGAGGTCTGATAAGTAACAAATTCAAAATGTTATGAAATATCATCAAATCATTGGGATATTTCTCAAAGGAAACAAAATGAATTAAGTTGAAAAACAGGAAGAAAAAGTTACACATGATGACATATTTAGAACCAAAAGTATCAAATAATTTGCATCAAAGGCTATGGCACACTAGCATTTTTTTTCGAGACACTTGTGTGGCGCAAAAAAAGTTGTAAGTTGCACGATGCCATGTCACACTAGCAAATTCTGTTGCAACTTAGCTTGCGCAAGAGAATGTTCAAGTTGCACGCGTAAATTGGAAATGTAAGATCGTATTCTTTTTCAAAATTATCGCTTTCTATATAACTAATACCAGAGTCAGCCATCTTTGTTGATTATTACAACAAGTGACAGCAGGACAGATTCTTGCTTTCTTATTGGTTTGTGCGCCTAGTTGAAAATTTTGGAAGTTGCAAGAGACCATGTCACACATGTGTTTTTCTGAAAAATGTTGAAAAAAGTAGAAGCCAGTTCTACTTTTCTCTCAACCAAAAAATGAAATGTTCAAGTTGCATGAGGGAGTGTCACACGTAAAAAAACGCTCATGCAACTTACAACATTTTTTTGCACGACACAAGTTGCACGAAAAAAATGTAGTGTGACACGGCCTTAACACATTGTATTTTGAATTCAGTAATTAACATACACCAACAGTAATTACATAAGCTTTAATACTTATTAAGCTTTTAGTTAATTATAAAAACAAACAAACTTCAATCATATAAATTCAATCAGATAATATTCATTGCATGGCTTTGATTTCTAAACTACATATTAAGCCATGTAATTTYACACATAACGTTATAATCGTCCAGTTTAAACAAGCATGACATGCAATYAAAGAAGCTTCATGTCAAGAAGTTCGTACAAACTTTTATAAATAGCTCACCTAAAATTTATCGTTTGACGCCTAAAAATCGGCACTTCATCYTCTGTTTTCACTTCAATGAAGCCACTAGCGACCTGTTATGAGAAAAGCATTCCRATCTTTTATATGCAATGTAAATATTTCACGTGATTTTGCAGAACATGAACACCTGATATCAGTTGTTCTGATAATTGCTATTATTTTGTTTTGTAAACGTGCGATTGCCACAAAAAACAACCCAGTTGTAATTCAATAGATAMAAATTGCTGTCTTACCGGCTCGACATCATCAGGAGTCAGAAAAGGGTTCAAACTGTCTCCTGAACCAGAGGCGGCTTGCTCGTACTGGTCTAGTATGGAAGCCATTTTGCTTTCGGTCGTGGATTGCAATGTATGCTGGGATTCATGTCGGGATTCCTGTGTATTTCTTCCAGTTCAGTTAAGTACTGAGATTTTGGTGATATATTGACTTGCATGCAAATGTACGATGTATTGAATATGGGAGATTTTAATTATAATATATTTTACATGTTTTTAATCAGTCTCATGATGAGAAAGACTGGCTTCCTAAATTAGATGCTCTTAGAGCGCTTACTCGGGCTTCATCACTGAATGTGGTGAATGACGTCATTTTACTCAATGTCAACTATAGTTTTTTTCCCCTTGATGTTTTGGGACTCATAAACAATGCATTGCATTTGTTTGTCAAAAAAGAAAAAAAAAAGAAAAAAGAAATGAAATGTTTTTGGGATACAGCAAAAATATTAGAAATTTATTGCGTGCTTCAAATGTTCCCAATGTTGCCAGAGGCTCTTGCCATTGTGCAAGTTTCTTTGCTCTTCAAGCAGAGGAAGTTTCATTTTTGACATGAAGAAAACGTCTTCTGCTGATTTTGTTGTAAAGTTCATTTTCAATCACCATATTGTTTTTACACTTCCTTTATTATTAATGAAAACACATTTATTTAYCCTAACAGCATACACTACCAAATTTATCTGACTGCTTTAATCTCCCGAACCATCCCATACAAACCTTACAAACTGGCGGAATATTTACTACTTCAGGGTGGGGTTGTCCAAAGGCCAATTAGCATTAATCCTGGGTTACCGTAACTCCATAGATTTTCTAAGAGTTAACCCAGGATTAATGCTAATCAATCTTTGAACAACCTGGCCCAGGGGTACATAGATTGTTATTTTACAGGGGATGGGCTGGGGTGCATGCCTTCCATTTTTTAGATTAGTTTATTGTCTTTACCTAGCTATCTACCTGAAAATCCCTGTTGAGTAGAAATGATTTAATAACTGAATCTAACTATCACAATTGGGCTGCTGCTGGTAGTTTATCTCCCTTCAAACCAGCAAGGATGTTTCTAGATGTTAATGTGGCCATGTCTGTTCTTGTTTGTTCTTCTGCACTACCAATGTGTGGAAGGACAACTAAATCGAAAAAAATAACAAAATAAAACAAAGAAGTATTGTTAAAGTGTGCAGATTTATCAAGAAAAATGACTTTTATAAGTGGTATAGCGATACTCAATGTTAATCAACAAACTCATAATTCTTATATAATGTGCCAACCATGATCAGAATGGCTTTTCGCAATTCGTTTTGTTCTAACAGCCAATCTTCTTCTGGTTGGTACATGTATATGAATAACAAAGGCTTACATCACATTGWGAATCGCTATACAGAGAGAGGAGCATACACTTTGTAAGCAACAAGAAACAGACAAACACATTCTGACAGCTGAGTGAAGAAAAAAGGTAGGAAAGAATGACAAGTAAAGAGACCAAATTAACACGCAARRAAACAGTCCAGTCAGKCAACTATAYAAGCATGCAATGTCTTACCACAATTCTTCAATGTTAGAAGAGGATGATCTAAAGGAATTGGTTCCGGGACTGTAACATCAAGACCGGCACCCTACATACAAACAAGCAAATGTAATATGAAATGATGATACAGTCCAYTGCCAGAAAACAAAGCAGTAATATTATCTTACTCTAATTTCACCATTCTTCAAAGCTTGATAAAGATCATCTTGGTTAACTACTCCACCACTAGAAAGGTAAACAAATCATGAACAATATTTGCCCACTGTATAGTCAAACAGAAATATTAAAACTATATTAACCAACTCACCGACTTGCATTGACAAAGACTGCATTCTTTTTCATCTTTGAAAAGGCATCTTTGTTGAACATGCCTCTTGTTTCATCAGTTAATAGGGTGCAGGAGACAACAAAATCCGACTCACGGAAGAGAGTGTCTTTGTCAGCTACAAACATGTACAAATAATTTATGGTTTCAATTGACTTAGAGGTTATTCTCTATTTTTGTACTGTAGTCGCAACCTTTTTGCAGTTATCAATTGTCATTGGTTTGGTGTCCACTCCAGGCAAGGTTTCATGAAGCGGTTAGAGAAACAGGAGATTATGTAGCTTAAAGGTGATGTAATGCTCATACTCACCAAAAACAGCATCGACCATTTTAGCAATGTCATCCCTTGGTGCAATATCRTTGTACAAAAACTTTGCAACCCCAAATGGAGCAAGTCTCTGGCAAACAGCAACACCTAAAATTCACCACCAATGAACAAAATTTCAATATAACAGTCTTGTCATGTAAAACTATTCTAGAAATGATGTTTGAATCAAAGGGYWTAAACTATTTACCAATTCTTCCCAATCCAACAACTCCAACTGTGCTRCCCTTGAGKGTYGGTCCTGTCATCCACATTGGCTTCCAGGTTCCCCAGCCACCACTGATTCAAATTTAAAAATGATCTTTACTTATATTACATTTTGTACACCAAAATAAAMATGTTGCTTATATACTTTTTAGCCTCTGCAGCAGCCTCGACRATTCTTCTTGATACAGCAAGYAGMAGAGCCACATTGAGTGTTGCCTGTCATACAAATATAGACACAAGTTAGTTATTTTATTACCATAAACAAGTAATAAATGATAGTTTATGGGATAAAAGTGTTATACTAACGGTGGCATCTGTAAGGACTCCTGGYGTGAATCCAAGACATAAGTTTCTGTMAAAAAGTTTYTTASAAATTAGAATTTATCAAATGAAAAGAGTAAAGGAATGGCACACAAACATTAGGATGGTAACTGAAGATGTAAGCTGAAGAAATGAATGGAGCGATAAATGGATGGATGAATGAAAGAATGGATGCATAGAGGGATGGAATATCACTTAATGGATGGATTGCTGAATAAATGTAGAATACAGAGATGGTTTAGTGAATAAAATAATGGGTAGAAGAACTGATGCTGGTATGTCTTTGTTACTGCATCCTAAAACTCAGGGATATTTGAAATTGAAAGTGTCAATTGTTTTTACCTTTTTGCAATCTCTTTTGTGTCAACATGATCATAGCCCACAGACATAGTTGCTACAACCTTTAGTTGAGGGCCTGAAACAAAATTTCATTTGCATCAAGTAAAATTTATAATAAAACAAAAAGGCAGAGGAACTTTTTAAGAGATAGAAATACTTGATACCTGCTGCATCAAGAAGYTCGCCATCAATCTTCTCTGTCAGCAAACAGAAAATTGCATCTTTGCCTTTGACTTTATTGAGTAATTCATCTCTAGGAATTGGCTCATCCTTCTCCCAGTAATCTAATTCACAGCTATTTGTTTTAACATATAAAGTCCAAGTTACAACAGGTACAACAATCAATATTATAGGAGACTTTTATGTAGCCCTGATGTATGCAACATAGATGAAGTGTGATTGTCTTGGATGTTTCTATACCAGAATTTGTATTGCAAAACATTYCTTCTCTTCTGCTCAATTGTTTTGAGCATCTCCTTCTATTAAATTAMATAATTGGTGCCACTAGTATTCACAGAAGACGTGTTGTCAGATTCTCCATTATCATCACGTGGATTGTCATCATGAATACTTTACTGGTCTACAATATTCTCCATGTATCATTGTCACTGCCTTTCAATGCACTACCACAAAAGACTATGTGTAGCTACCAGTAAAAAATATCATGACATTTCTTTAATCACTGAAAAATTGATGCTATAATTATAACCTTATTAACTATGTATAATGTTTTGTTGATATGTGACGCTCCCATTTTAATAAAAATACAGTTTAATGCAATTTTATGTAAATGAAAACATTAAATAAACTTAAAAACTACAATTGGTAATTCCAATATTGCTTTGTAAGAGGAAGCGACAAMAGGGAAAGACCTTCAACAATAAGAGTTTAAAATCTTTTGTTCCAAGCCAGACAGCGYATCGATATTTAATTGAATTACTCCAATAAACATCTGTTTTTATCGAATGGTTTCTTGATCTTAATCTCCACACTCGTTTACAAGTAAAAAATTTCCTCTTTATTACCAGAACGCATAACGTATAAAATATTTTCTTACTTTGCATCTTTGAGCAGTTGAATGGCTTCGGCAGGCACTCGACGTGTCACAAGAACTTTTGCCATGTTGGAATCCTTGTAAATAATAGAAAATTATTTAAAATATATTTTCCACTTCTGAAACAACTCAGAAAACAGAGAACCACTTCTTAAAATCTTTAAAAGCGATGGATAAATAGAATAAAATTATATTTTTACCTTCCACGTTGCACGTTCCAAACTTTATAATCGGTTCTCTGGTAGCAATCTATGCCAGGCGTTCCTTTGGAGGCGTTGAGGTAGGCTGGGCAACCTCACTAATATGGATAATATCGCCATATTAAGAACACCYAAAGCGCGCTATTTTGAAAACCCGAAGTATTTTGTTGAATTTTACCGCATTTCTGCCTGCAAGAATGATTATTTTAAGTGGTAAGTACTTTTCCTTAGTTTATTCTATATATTTTATGTTTTATGGGGAAATTATTAGTCCATTTCAAGAAATATTTGTGGATTTTACCTCATAATATACAAGACCTTTGGCCCCACAACTGAACTGCCACAAGCCAGACCGGGGCTAGATCATCAACATTTTTAGCAAATTAGATGGACGTTTACGAATAATTCAAATGCTAGAGGCTAGATGAAACAACATTTTGAAAATTATTCTTTGAGGAATAATGTCTAGGCCAAGCAAATGTGAAAATTTCACATTTATGAATAAGTTATTAGACTTATAATAAGATGCAAATGTATTCGTTCTCAAAATTTGGGGGCTACCTTTATGCAACTAATTGTTGGGAAACATAAAAAAACAGCTTTTTAGGTTTTGAGTATGATTTAAAATCCAATCGAGCACAAAGCAATAATCACAAATGCATGCTTGACAACGTGGATTGGGTTCCCTGTGTCTGTGCTAACTCGGGCGACCTGAGAACTCGGGCAAAAAGTACTATCGCCTTATGCAGTTTTCCCTTGGGGAGTAACAAGCCATTGATATCAAATTCAACACRTGASCATCATGTTGCTGTTTTTACTSAGGAGGGYTGTGGARAGTCMTTGCACTTCCGCCTTTTTAGYGCTTTTCMCCTCTTTTTCGGCGCGGTATGGATGGGACAAAATGAAAACGTTTTCRATTTTTCCTCCCATTTCAATGCACTGCTGATTCGATTTTATCTATCCGATTTCTCGAAGTCAACGATTTTTCGCCACTCACGATTTCTCGAACGATTTAAGCATATATTCACGAACCACTGATTATTTCCGGAAAATTAGCGTTTTTTTCCAACTACCGATTTTTCGAATGAAATGGGGATACCATCGACATCTAATATACGCTACGCTACGCTCGTGGTTCCACTTGAGTTTTGATCATTTTCTGACGCCATTTTCATTGTCGATAAGCGTACAGACCATAGAAAAGCGAATTCGATTTGTTAAATAGAAAGTCGGTCGTTTTCATTATAGTCGGTCAAACAGTGTTTAAAATTGAACRATAATTAATACCAAGATTATGCATGAAGGGTATATTATAACCTTCGCCCCGCCCACCATGCTGAGATTTAATAAAAGTTTGGTATTATAAAGGTACGAATAGATCGCTAAACACACCAATCACCCGTGATTATCTTGAAAGAGCTGTCTTCAAATAGGACTGTATTTACTAGTTGTACAGCACAAATAATGGTATTTTGAATTACGGTTAACATAASACTTGGCGAACGCACGACTGTACATTTGATGTGATTCTTTTTAGGACTGAATACGTGTGGCACAGGTAAGTTCAACTGTGATGAAATAATATTCGYTTTGCTCCGTTAAGATTGCGTTTTTTCGTACAGAAAAACGGCCTAAAAAGAATTTTTTGACGGAATTTGTTTTTTGTTTGAAATTTYATCACCATTATCAAGTTGCATTTTTTCCATTGAAATATCAATTCTTGGTGAAATGTTTTTTTTTTCTACGCTAGCTTTAATTTGTCATCTAACTCTGCTTAAGATTMATAAACCGGAAAACGACAGCCGAATATTGTTGTTTAAGAAATTTCTTTCTACATTTATTTGCACTGTAATAAAAGCCGGGATTAAACATCGTTCTGCGGACAAAAATAATATTTTGCAAGTCTTGTGGCGTTTTAAACACGGTTTACGAATATTATACCTAGAAAATAATGTAATATTGCTTTCAGAATTTTAGTTTACTTTGTTGCTGTGCAAAAAGAGGGAGATAAACTTCGTTAATATTAATGAAATACTGACTACTTAACTCGAATAACTTTTTTTCTTCAATTATCGGSCCCTCTTGGGAAAAAATTAGGAATCCTCCAGTATTTAAAGTTTAAGTSCGATTGAAAAGTCGCAGTATCATTTTCAGCGCAAGGTATTTTAGAATCGAGAAAACGTGCTAAAAAAAATCAAAGAAAATTGCCTCCTAAAACATTCATGTTGAGTTGGCAGCGTAAAAAGAAACCTAGAGTTCTTTGTTGTTATCAAACTGGTTTAAACAAGTGGTTATACAATAAAGATATATTCAAAAACAACCAATGTGGCATTGTGAACTTTTACATCGACAATTCTCTAAAAGGTCGCTTTCCTGTTATTAACACACTCCTGAAACTCTTCTAAGCGTAATATTAATTTATATGAGTTTATTTAATCCTTTGAGGCTGTCTTCAGGGTTATTGGCTTCAGGGTTTAGGATATTGGGCATGTAACGTTTATATTACGATGTTTCTAGCAATAAACCTTTGTCGTAAAGAATTACAAAGTGAATGTCTAACTACTAATAAATGATTTTGTTGATCTTAAAAGTGTGAGGAATTTCGATTGGAAAGTAGAAAATATAAACAATAGAGAGAGATTTTTGTAAAGTATATTTTGTCCAAATTCATCGTTTTTCGCTGTGTTTAATGGTAGTTTTTCTCTTTTATTTGGAAAATCTTCCATTATCTTTATTTCATTAATGTTGACTATAAAAAATCTGCTTTTTAAAGAAGTTATTTCTTAATAAAATTATTGTTTAGAAAAAAATATTATCATATTGTTATAATTTATCATCATCATCATCATCATCATTATTATTATTATTATTGCAAAGTTAGCTATCAAAATGAACCTCAAAATCAGCTACCGCAGCTCATAAAGAAAAAGAAAAAGAAAAAAAAAACACCCTCAGTTTCATTGAAAAGATTACGATAATTTAATAATCTCGTCCAGAAATATTCAATCTTTACCAAAATACCCGTTTTACTGACGGCCCAGTTTGATTAATTCGACATCTTCCGTCTGTAATAAGCGAATTGAATGCGTTTCCTGTGGCGCGCTCTCTTTAATTTACGACAGAAACGATTTGCTTCATAAAAAATCGATAAAGATTCAAGAATCGTCCCCAAGGTTGATTACTTTCTCTATTACAAAAGAAATAAGATTTTTGGTTGCTTGATTGTTTTCCAGAACCGTTCTGACAATGTTTGATTTAGTTATTGTTCTGGGAATATTGTTCGTCAATTCGCCTTAGAGCTATCGTTATATTTATATGTGCAAATTGCCCGGCAGAAAGTCAACACACGTCAAAATTTGAAAAATTRTATGCGGCCTACTTTGACGTTTCGCACCTTCTTTTATCCGAGTATCAAGATATATATAGTGTTTATTTAAGATTGTTTTTTTTTAACACAAAGAGCCGCTTCTAATCATGTCTGATTCTGTGTTCTCAGTAGCCCGCAAAACTTTCYCGCGCTTTTAATTTTTTTGCCTTTTTTCTAGACTATTTTTTGGTTTTGGAATATTTTTTTCTAGCTTTGAAGCKCTGAAAGTGATAACTAACGACGTAGCGCATTCAAATACAAGAAAAATAGAAATTTTGAGCCTTGTGCTTGCGTTTGTGCGAACGATTGTGATAAGATCTRATTACTTYAAAAAGGCATAAATGRCATTTTTCTCATTCTCTGTCGAAMGYGTTATGTTTTTTATAGACGAATTATTTTGTGGGCCGTTTTTCTCAAAATTATAWCGGAAGCATTTTGTTTTATTTATTTAAGATTGTTTTAATTTGACATGCTAAACYGTTAACGGTTATTTTGCACGTTAATTTTAAGCTTATTTATATTGTTAACTAGAGTTTCTAGCATGAAATTTTCCGGTCTTTTGCAACTGTTTGAAAGCGTAAAATCAATAAAAATCATATCAATTACAATCGTCTGTTTTTGTACATAGAAAACAATTTCTATTGCTTTTTAAAGTCGAGAGATTGTAGACCGCAGAAGGCGCGACCGCTATGATCACTAGGTCTTTATGCGCGCGTCTGTATGTCTTCGACTTTTTCCCGCCATTTATCGATCGATTATTCGTTTTTTGCTTTCATCTTCTCAATTCAATGCACTTAAAGTAAGGTTATTCATCTGATAAAAGTTTAACCGGCTGGGGATTCAATCCTTTGTTGTTTATATGTCCAGTTATCTCTCCGCTAATGAGCTTTTCAATAGTAATGAGTTATGATATAAACAACCATCTGTAGCGAAATGACAGATGGTTCAGGTTGATTGAAGTATCGTGCAGGTTATTGCTAGCCAGAAATTGTAAAGCGGTTTATAAATCCCGATCCTGCTGTAAAAATTGGGTCAAAGAATTGATATAAAAGTCTTCACGGTTCCCTGCGCCATCTTGAAAGGTAGCCGTGCCTTTAAATCGAAGCGAGACAACCGTCGAATCCACGACGACGTTGATGATAATGATTCCGATGATTTAGTTTCCAATTGAAAAATCTGTCTACGTCCGAGATCTAAACACACCATATCACAATATTGATGACGATGATAATGACGTTAGTGATGACGAASTTCCMTTGATRCACCGCGACCCGTAAAACGAGTAAGAGCAACGACTGGGTACGAGTGTGTTGAAATGGCCTATTTGTTAACAGCTGGGAGTGCCGTAAACCGAAGCTGGTCATGAACTTGACCGYGCAGACCGTGCAGTCTAAGTAAACACTCGTCATGATTTTGCTATTGTCGTGATTGATCACACATAAAATCCAAATACCAATGTTTGAAGTGAACGATCGCTAAAAGAGGTATTCGCTGTAAGTGTTCTTGAGTATTGGTCATCGACTGGACAATTAGATCTCGCGTGTGGTCACCGTTTTGCTTAATGCGAMCATCTTTAATACTGACAAGGCTTTTTAAACTGTCTTTACTTGAAACTAAAAAAAAGAAAACAACTGAAGGCCAACATGCACGACGCCCAACTCGAAATCCAACTCGAAAATTAATCACTTGTTCGAGTCTTGTTTCTAATTCTTAGATATTTCATTCAATATT